TGATTCAGTTATACATATATATATTCTTTTTCATATCCTTTTCCATGGTTTATTATCAGATATTGAATATAGTTCCCTGTGCTATTCAGTAGGACCTTGCTGTTTATGCATTCTATATATCATAGTCTGCATCTGCAACTTAAAAAAAAAAAAAAAGAGTACTGGAAGAAGTTAAGAGGTTCAAATTCTGTCTTCTGGGAGCTGATCCAAAGCTCCATTTTTGTTTCATCTATCCAGGCAGATCTCTTAGAGACCTGGCTCCTCTTGTGAGATTGGAACCTCTGGGATAGGCTGCTCATATTAAAAACCCAGAGATATTCCTGGGAAGTGAGGAGAGGAGATTTCGAGTTCAGGTCATAATAGGTCACAACAGTGTTGAGACTAGTAGGACATAGTGAAGCTAGGAGATGAGAGGTAACAGGCCCAGCAGCAGAAGTGGGACCATACAACTAACTGAACATCTAACACTTGAAAAGTGTTTGGTGTCACAAAGAACCACAGGGATTTGTGAATCAATGAGAAGGAGAAAAGTATGTATTAAGACTAGATTTTTGCAACAAATTAAAAGCAAGGGGATTCTGAGCAGTTCAAAGAGTACAGATTTGTTGTAACAAGTCATAGAAGAACTATGAAAATGTCACTATAGTGAAGCAATCCTGAGGGAGTTCTGTTTCACAGGATTTCAAAAGAATACTCGGCATCTTCAGTCTTAATGAAGATAATTCAGGAAGAAAAGGAAAAAAAAAAACTGGCTGCTTTCAGGAAACAAAACTGAACAAAGTGGGACTCTTAGTTCAAACTCGGCTCCTGGAGGTTAAATTTCCAACAAGCAAGATCTCCAGATGAGGATAAAAGTAGATCCCATCTTCCGGTCGAAAGACTCCCCAGAACAAACCTGAAGTCCCAGCTGCAAACTAGACCAACTAATTTGCTTCCTGTGAAGCACAATCTGTGCATAGAGAAAAGTGTGAAGGGAAACAGGCTGGAGATTCAGCCTTCTCTCTTGGTCATCCTGCCGCTTTCAAATAATCAAGGGCCATACACTTCCAGGCAGATGTAAGATGGCAGCATGATTGAGTTAGGCTCAAAACCAACTCTCCCCAACTGAGCAACTGCATGAAATCTAAACAATTTTTCCAAAAGGAGCCTAACCTAGGGCCTGCTGCCAAAATTAAGGATGCCTTTCCTCTTTGGGCCTGTCCTTAATTTCTTTTGTTTGCAATGAGATCGAGATTGCAAGATACCAAAAAATGGTTTCAGTCTTTTACTCCACTTCAAATACAAGGCCATGCACGACCTAGGTATCATCTACACTGCTCCAGGCTTCAGCTTTGTAGCTTAGGTGGCTCTGTATATCTTTGAACAAATGCCATTTATTACTTCTCTTGGGCAGAACTTGTGTACTAGGCCTAAGTTCACAGTGCATTTGCTTTATCTGAGCCAGATCTTTCATCTTTCTTTTTTTTTTCTTCTCATTTTCCTTCTCTCGCTTCCTTCTTTGCTTCCTAAAATACAAGAAGCAAAATATGACATCTAAATAAAGGCTTTTGACAAGTGTACATGCTAAGTTGCTTCAGTCGTGTCTGACTCTTTGCAACCCGCTGGACTGTAGCCCACCAAGCTCCTTTGTCCATGGGCTTCTCTAGGCAAGAATACTGGAGGGGGTTGCCATGTCCTGCTTCAGAGGATCTTTCCAACTCAGGATCAAACTCTTGTCTCTTACATCTCCTGCATTGGGAGGGAGGTTCTTTACCACTAGGGCCAACATTTGTTTGCAGATATTAAGTAGGTGTGCAGCTTTCCCAGGGGAAAAAAAAACACAGAGATTCTTATTTAGGCACAACTCCCAGTAATCACCATCTCTTGATCCTAGTTGCTTCCCATGAGTAGGAAAATAATCATATATAGTGTAGTTAGCTTCAGGTCCTTGAGAAAGATTTTCTTGAACATCTACTGTAACAGGGCCCAGAGAAGTTTTATTCAATCCCCTAGGACACAGGTTCAAAATTTAACTGCACACTGGAATTACCTGAAGACTTTTTAAAACTACAAGGCCTGGAATCTATCTCCAGAGACTCTAATTTGTCTGGCATGTGGCCTGAACACAGTTATTTTTTAAAAACTCCTCAGCTTTTATTTACTGTGCAGCCACCAGCATATCACCTGGGAACCACTCAGAAATGCAAAATCCTGCCCCACCCTACATCAGACACTCCAGTGTAGGGCCCAGTAGTCTGTTTTCAGTGAGCCCACGAGGTGATTCGAATGCACACTGGGGTTTGAGAATCACTGCTGAGGAGAGAGTGGCATGGATGATGGATGGGCTTTGGGTCCCAGGTACCAGAGATAATAGCACGTTTTGCCTTCTTCGCACCCACCTTTGGGAAGAGAATGTATGTGATAAATTTGCAAAACACTGCAAATATTTTCTCAGAAGATATAACAAGAAAATATTCCTCTCTTACTAGCCAGAATGAGAAACAAAAACAAATCTCCTTAGCTGAGAAAGTACCTAGTATAGCCTCCTGTGCTAAGTCACTTCAGTCGTGTCCGACTCTTTGTGCCCTATAGACTGTGGCCCGCCAGGCTCCTCTGGCCATGGTGATTTCCTAGTATAACCTCCTAAAGTAGGTGATGTCTTGTGGCCCAGGCATGGTGATTAGAACTGAGGCTTCAGAGCAAGTTTTAAAATTCCAGAGTGAAAGTGAGATAAATGTGTCCCCAAGGCAAGGAGAGAAGAAGTAAAGTGAGTCAAGATGGCAGGAGCTAGATAACACTTTCGCCTTATCCCGCGACGTTCTGCCAGCGCGCGGCTCGCTGCCCAAAGGGCGCCCGTCGTCCCTCCGCGTCACGTGGGGCCGGGGTCGAGGGGGGGCGTGATGGGGCCTGGGGGGCGGGGCGGGGGACGGCATCAGGGCGAGGGGCGGCGGCCGGGGAGGGCCGGGAGAGGGGCGGGCTGGAAGCCGGAGGGCCGCCCGGAGCAAGCGCGGACGCGGGCCGGGCAGAGGCGCGCTCAGCCGCTTGCCCTGTGGCGGGTTTTTTCTGGAGGAGCGCGCAGCTGAGAGGAGCCCCAGTTCCTTCACCCAGGAGTTCTCGGTCTGAATACTGATGACGTGCAGATGTTGACATTACAGTTGAACTTTTCACATGCCGCCGTTCACCGCACTGACGTAGAGCGCGCAGAATTTCTCTTGGCTTGGGAACGTCGAAAATAGTAGCCGCCAGTTCTAACTGAACGGTTGTTAAATAATTAAATTTTAAAGTATTTTCTTTGAATTTGAATGGGAGGCTTGGCGGAATGCTCTTAAAACTCTTTATAATTGAATGGAATGGGTAATGGCAGCCTCTTGAGATCTGGAGGACTCTTGTCTGTGGTGATTTATGATGCAGATGGGCAAGTGCCTCAGGGCACGGGCGAGCCCCACAGGGCTCGGGAGGAGCGTTCTGGAAGAGTGGACCACGTAAAAAATGCGAGTTGAGGAAAGCGCGTGTTCGGCTTTGGTTGGAAGTCAAGTAATGTATGTGTAACTTGTTTAAACATACATGTTTACAAACATGTAGCTTGTTACTGGGGAGGTAGCCATGTTATGAACGAACTTTGGTATTCTAGTTGTCATTGGGAGTTTGTTGAGGCAGTGGTCTTTAGACATGGAAGTGACCGATCTGTGTGTCGTAAAGGTACTGGTGCTAGGCTGGAGGGGCACTGGAGTTGGGAGGAGATAGGCTCACTCGTCTGAGCAGTGGTAAGGATATGAGAGCTGGTTTTAGGGTTAGGAATTGAAGATTGGTGTCGGGAGAGGATGGGGAAGGAAATGGCAATTTACTCCCGTGTTGCCTGAAGAATTCCATGGACAGAGAAGCCTGGTGGGCTGTAGTCCATGGGGTCGCAAAGAGTCGGGCACGACTGAGCAACTCATACACACACAGAATTCTTGTAAGCACTCTACCTACCTCTCCCGTAGTGAGTGAGAGAAAGTCGTGCCCGACTCTGTGACGCCATGGACTGTAGCCTGTCAGGCTCCTCTGTCCACGGAATTCTCCAGGCAAGAATACTGGAGTGGGTTCCCTTCTCCAGGGGATCTTCCTGACCAAAAGAGAAAAAAAAAAAAAAAAAACACTTTCCCCTTGCCCTGCAAATGTTTGGTTGTTAGCTGCATGAAATGCTTGGTGGGGGTGGATTCTCTGGAATCACAGAGGTTTCACACCTGAGTTATATTGGTCATGGACACTGCCATAATGCCAGGAAGGTCCTGACATCTAGGTTGTACTCTTGATTTTTGAATTGAAAACTGCCTGAAATCATTATCATGGTGCTTGACCAGAGTTTGATTTGTTATGGTAACGTTTTAAGAGATGCAGAAATTAAAATATGGTATTTCCTGACTGGTATTATGCATCAGTCACTGGGTTAAGGCAGTGGGAATACAAGGTTAAAAAATCATCCAACTAAGAGTTTTAAATCCAATGGCAAGAAATACACCATATTTCCTGGCTAGACTGTGTAAGGTCTATGCTAGGAAAATAAAATGTCATGGACCACAGCTGATGGTACATTTAATGATGCTGTGGTTGAGGATGGGAAGTATCACACATGACTCCCCTAAGGAGGTAACATTTTAACCTGGCCTTTAAAAGTGAACAGATTTTCAAAGGTGTGCTCAGTTTAGTTGAAATAGTAAAAAACGTCTGGCATGTGGACTATGAGTACAGGAGATAAAGCTGAAAAGGTTGATGAATAATCTTGAGAGTAAATAGGACGTTTTCATAAGAAAGAAACTTGCATAATCAGGTCAGTAATTTAGAATGAACTCTGATGGAGGCTGTGTTAGAGAAGAACCAACAATGGAGGCAGAAAGCCCAGTCAACAGATTCTAGTAACATTCAAGGCAAGACAGGATGAGTGTCTGGAAAGGCAGAGACTCTGGACACTTACAGGAATGAACTGATTTTTGTTTCAGGGTCCTTCAAAATACACAGTCTGTATGATACCATAATGATACATGCCATTAGGGAGCGTCTGTGTGTGCTCAGTCGTGTCTGACTCTGCAACCCTAATGGACTGCAGCCCACCAGGCGACAATACTGGTCTGGGTTGCTATGCCCTCCAGGGGATCTTCCTGACCCAGGGATTGAACCAGTCTCTTGCATTGCAGGCAGATTCTTTACCCACTGAGCCACCTGGGAAGCTCCTACATGTCATTCATTATATATTTGCCCAAACCCATAGAATGCACAACACCAAGAGTAAACTTGTTTTTAAGATAAACTATGAACTTTGGATGGTGACTGCAACTATGAAATAAAAAGACACTTACTCCTTGGAAGGCAAGTTATGACCAACCTAGACAGCATATTAAAAAGCAGAGATATTACTTTGCCAACAACGGTCTGTCTAGTCAAGGCTATGGTTTTTCCAGTAGTCATGTACGGATGTGAGAGTTGGACTATAAAGGAAGCTGAGCACCGAAGAATTGATGCTTTTGAACTGTGGTGTTGGAGAAGACTCTTGAGAGTCCCTTGGACTGCAAGGGGATCCAACCAGTCCATCCTAAAGGAGATCAGTCCTGGGTCTTCATTGGAAGGACTAATGTTGAAGCTGAAACTTCAATACTTTGACCACCTGATGTGAAGAGCTGACTATCTGAAAAGACCCTGATGCTGGGAAAGATTGAAAGCAGGAGGAGAAGGCTACAACAGAGGATGAGATGGCTGGACGGCATCACCGACTCAATGGACATGAGTTTGAGTAAACTCCAGGAGTTGATGATGGACAGGGAGGCCTGGTGTGTTGCAGTCCATGGGGTTGAAAAGAGTCAGACACGACTGAGCGACTGAAGTGAACTAATGAACTTTGGGGTGATTTTGATGTGTCAATGAAAGCTAATCAGTTGTATTAATAACAAATGTACCACTCTGTGGAGAACCTTGATAATGGGAGAGGCCTTGCATGTGTGGGGCAGAAAGTATAAGAAATCTATGTACCTTTCTCCCAGTTCCACCATCAACCTAAAACAACTCTTAAAAAGTAAAGTCTTTTAAAAACAATTTTTTAAAAAAGTCCAGAGAGACAAATTTCACACAGTATTTTTCTGTATTTATTTAGCAGAAATTTAGCTAAGTAAACAGTTTGAAATAGTTCATTATTAATAATTTTACCATTCTGCAGTTACCAAAAATAGTATCACTACATGCATAAATAATGCTCTTGATACTACTTTAAACATTTTTAAGACAGGTTATGAATTAGCATTTGTACTGAGCTAATGTTATAACTTTAGTAGCTAGAGTTACCAAATATTAATAATTAAATAAATAAACATAATTAAACTATATTCTTAAATAAACATAATAATTAAACTACAGCAAAAGCTGAGTGAATTTCAATTGTCATAATTTGATTATTAATCTTGACAGGAAAAGTGCCACTAAAAATTTAAGGCTCCAGGGGTTTTCCAGAAAAGGAGAAAAGCTTACTATGAGAAGGTATAATCCCATATAAATTAAATCAAATGGCTAATCAGTATTTTTTAAGAAGCCCATACGGCGTCTGAGAATTCTGAGAACTCCTTAGATACCTTACATGTTATTATCATAATACTGTCCATTATGTCACTACAAGGTCACACAGTACAACATGTTGCACATGTTGAAAACTCCTCTCCTGAAGAAGCTGCTCACGGCTGAACTGATTTACAGGAACATGCAACTGTGAATCTGCGTAGGTGCTCAGCAAGCTACTTAATACAGTAGTGCTGAAAAACTTGTAAATATGATTTTGAGAGCCCGTAACCCCTCTCTCCACCTCCAGTGAACACAATGGAATCTGGATATTCCACTGTAAAGTCAGTAATAACGGAGGCAAAACCCAAGGGAAGTACACGTTGGTCTCTGGGCCTTCACTTCCGCTCTCTACCTGCCTAACACTGAGCCACAAGTGCTTAGCTCTGCTGCTGCCCGTCTCCAGCTCCCCTCTTCACAGACTCTGCTATGGACATTTTGATACTTAACACACACACTTGTACTCACTGGTTTTGTCTGATCCTTGTATTAGCAGTTAAAGGCAGATGGTCCTTTCTCACTTCTATATTTCCTGATCCTGGATACAAGTTAAATGCTCAGCAAATGTTTACTGAATGAATAAATGAACTAGACAACGTTGATTCTAGAGAGTGTAACTAAACATTGTAATTGTACTAAGTATTTCATTACTTAAAACTATGTTTAATATAATGCCCCCCAAAAAGGAAGGAAAAAAAAAAAACTAGTCTTCTCAGATTATTTCTAAGATCAATACTTTAATATACTTTAAACCTTATGTTCATTTATATTCATGTGCATGGTACAATTATACACTGGCACAATGTAAGATTAGCTTTCAGTGCTTATTTTTCATTCACATTCACTGCTATTAGTGTAGATTAGCACCAAAAGACAATCCTTAAAGAAATATGTCTCATGAAATGATTTATTAATAACATTAATATATTATTAAAGTAAATTTTCTTATCCAAGCCTATCCATCTCTACTTTCAAGTCAAGGCTTGTTCATGATAAAAGACAGGTCTAATCACTTTTTAATTCTAATTTTCCTTTGGTATAGTAAACAAGCTATCAAGCAGCAGGTTCCTCCAGTTTTTAATATTTTAATAAAACCACTTAATGTTTCTTCCCCATTTATATACTTACAGGTAAAATTCTATTACAATGAATTCTCTTGGATAGCCAAATTGACTTGTTGTAGCAAATTCACTGTTAGAGAAAAATTATTTTATATATACTATATAGCTTTCAGTATCAATTTATTACAAAGATGCTAGGTTTCAGGAAGTGAAAACCAGCATCTGAAATCTGTAAGTGACAACATATACCATTCTTTCCATCAAGATCAGAGATCACTGTGTGATATGGTACTCTTTATTTTGAAATTAATTACAGAACAATCAATAAGTAATTTCTTTCTTTCCTTAACAAAGGTTCCAACAAAGTACTTTTATACCAGTTTATTCTTCATAAATAAATCACTATTATAACTGACTACTTACTGAGAAATGAAAATATTTGAATTTCTTAAAAAAATACAGAGCCCTTCTTGATTAACAGAATTTCTTTTACTGGGATTTTATCTATAGTATCTTATACCTTAGACAAGGAACCATTAAAACAAAGTCAATGACAAAGAATTTATATGACTATATCACACATTTCAGGAAACAAACATGAAGAAACAATTTAAGGCTACCCAGTAATAGCTTCTCATAAAACCCAGTGATCCTTACAATTGTAATTAGACTTCAAAGAGACCAAAATATTAGTCTATGTTAAGCCAAGATTAGGAAATCTTCCACTGTTGACATTTTCATGTTCTTAGTTTTTCAATCAAATAATCAGCCTGTAATTAGAAAAATAATATATCTTTATCCTAATTATCATAGCCTATATGAAATAATTTTACTGGCACTCCTATTATAATAAGCCACACAGAAGAGCTGGATACTACATATTCTTTTCCCAAAACTCTTACAAAAAACTCTCAATTGTTTTTAAACTATAGTAAAGGTGTTTATTTAATATTTTGTATATAAATAGGCAGATTTGTATCCACATTGCCTATTTGTCAGAAAGTTTCAAAAAGAAAAAGATATATAACACTAAAGTTTTATAAGGTAAACTAGGGGGGCTTCCCTAGTGGGATCCGCCTGCGGGTGCAGGGGACAAGGGTTCAATCCCTGGCCAGGGAGGATGCCACAGGCTGTACAGCGACTGAATCTATATACCACAACCACTGAGCCTGCTTTCCAGCGCCCAGGAGCTGCAATTCCCGAGCCCACGTGCCACAACTGCTGAAGCCCGTGCACCCCGGAGCCTTGCTCCACAAAGAGAAACCACCGCAAGGAGCAAGAGAGTGGCTCCCACCTGCCACGACTAGAGAAAAGCCCGTGCAGCAACCAAGACCCAGCACAGCCAAAGCTCAGTAAGAATTATTTTTTTAAAGATCAAGAAGTAAACTATATATGGAGGAACTTGAAACACATTTTACTAAGTGGAAGAAGTGAAAAGGCTACATACAATACAATTCTAACTATATGATATTCTGGAAAAGGCAAAACTGGAGACTAAAAAAAAAAATCAGTGGTTACCAGAGGCTAAGCGGCAGGGAGAAATGAATGATCAGAGCACCGAGGATTTTTAGGGCACTTTAACTACTCGCATGGTACTACATGGATATATGGATACATATATGGATATATGTCATAATACATTTGTCCAAAGCCACAGTATATACGACACAAAGAATGAACCCTAATAAAAACTATGGACTTTGAGTAATAATGATGTATCAATGTAGTTTCACGGATTATAACAAATTTATCACTGTGGTGTAGGATGCTGATAGTGGGAGAGATTGTGAGTATGTGGGGACACAGGATATATGGGAACTCTCTGAACTTTCCATTCAATTTTTCTGTGAACCTAAAATCCTTTTAGATGTATAGAACAGACTTGTGGACTCTGGGAGAAGGTGAGGGTGGGATGTTTCAAGAGAACAGCATTGAAACATGTATATTATGTAGGGTGAAACAGATCATCAGCCCAGGTTGGGTGCATGAGACAAGTGCTCGGGCCTGGTGCACTGGGAAGACCCAGAGGGAGGTGGGAGGGGGGACCGGGATGGGGAATACATGTAAATCCATGGCTAATTCATTTCAATGTATGACAAAAACCACTGCAATGATGTAAAGTAATTAGCCTCCAACTAATAAAAATAAATGGAAAAAATAAAAAATAAAAAAATCTATTTAAAAAAGAATAAAAACTAAGGTCTTTTAGTTATATTATTTCAGATATTTTACTCAATCATCTTATATATCTGGAATACTATATAAGATTTCAGAATAAATGTTAATATCTTTATTTTGATTTTTTCAAAGTCTCATAATATATACTTAATGTATATATTTAAGAAGGGTTCGGATTCCCAGGATGAGCCATTAACAGATACCATAATTTTGTTCATTCATTTTTTTTTTCCCAACTAAAAAATCTTATAAGGAATACAGTTTAGAAGTTATAAAAAATGTATTTAAATTATTTTTATTATAAAACATAGTATAGAAAATTAGAAATACAGATTTAGAAAAAACCTCTTTTTTATCATACCAATCTTTTAAAGAGACCACACCAGCTTCCTACAAAATGTCCCATTTTTTAATCTGAAGTACACATACATCTTGGCTTCCCAGGTGGCACTAGTGGTAAGGAACTCATCTGCCAATGTAGGAGATGTAACAGACGGGTGTTCGATTCCTAGGTCAGGAAGATCCACTGGAGGAGGGCATGGCAATCCACTCCAGTATTCCTGCCTGGAAAATTCCATGGACAGAGGAGCCTGGCAGTTTACAGTCCATGATGTCACACAGAGTCGGACATGACTGAAGCAACTTAGCATGCACACATGTACATCTTAAATATATTTTTAATTAAATAAAATAATCTGGACAAGCTGAAGAAAGAGATAATAAGTCTGAAATGTGAATTTTCTAAAAATAAAATGTTTTTTCATTTCTCCTGTAATATGACTATAATAATAATATATATTAACTAATGGTAATCACTTAATTTGTAATTTGATGGTTTTCAGATATAGCTGCTACAGGTCACCTTATCATCATGGACATATAAGAAACCGGTAAATTACTAGTCAAGTGGCCCTGGAAAGACAGAGTCATTTAATAACAAAGCTTGACTGTCAGATTACAAGCTTATAATCAGTAGAATTCTATCATACTGTTGCTCTAGCAAAGCAGAATTCTCCAATTTTCGAGACTCACAGCTTCAATTTCAGGTTTAGTAGCTGATGCTACTTGCCTCTGTTTCTACAAAGAGGCTAATGATGATAGAGGCTGCATTTACTGAGCCCTTACTATCTGCAAGGTACAGTTTTAAGCACTTGTGCACATGTGTGTGTTTATGTGTGTGTGTGCTCAGTCACTCAGTGGTGTCCAACTCTTTGCAACCCCATGGACTATATATAGCCCACCTAGCTCCTCTGTCAACCAAATTTTCCAGACGAGAATACTGGAGCGTCTTGCCATTTCCTTCTCCACGGGATCTTCCTGACCCAGGGATTGAACCTGTGGCTCCTGCACCTCCTGCATTGGCAGGCGGACTCCTTACCACTGCACCATGTTAATTAAATCATCAATCCTCTTCTGAACCCTGGAGGCAAGCATGATTACCCGTAAGTCAGTAGTAGACAAAAAACTTGGGCCTTAAAAAGTTTAAGTAACTTGCACATGGTCACTTGAATAACTAATGGAGCCAGAATTCAGAACTATTAATGCCACGAACTTCTATATCATCTCCTCTGCTTACAATTCAGAGACTTCACCACGGTGTCTCTTCCTACAGATTTGATGACCTGGAAAGTCCCCCAAATTAAAAGGATTATTTTGGATATGTGCAAATAGTATGTTAAAACAGATGACCAAATCTAAGAGGTGTCAGTGTCTACTGTTGCCAAGAAAAGAAAAACTACAACCAAAAGGACAAATGTTTTTGTATGCTGCTAGTGTAACATTAACACTCACTGTGATAAACCAATAGGAATTCACTCTATAAACCAATCTTGACATGAAGCTCAGCTGATCAGCTGGTGCCAGAACATGAAGGTGCAAGTGGGAAATGGAACAGAAGGGGGACACATGGAAACCCATTCTGAAACACAAAAGTACGAGATAACTGACAGATTAGTTCTACCATGGTTTACAACTATATTTTCAGGTTAAAACACATAAATATTAAAGACGCCCAAAACAGGTTACCTAAGGTAGACAGATTACCACTCAAACAACTCTTCCACTGTTTTTCTACATGAACTTCAGAGTATTCACCCAGCTCTTTCTCATGTTGAAGTTCACAGTAAGATAAACTCTTCATCAAGAAAAGCTTTCACAGAATATTATGGCACTGTGTAACTCATGATTTCTGAGCTGGCATTATGTCTTACTTCAGTTCTTATCATATCTTTAATTCTCCTAAAAACTGCTGAGTCACTGGACACTGATTAAAGTAGGGGGTCCTTAGTTCTAAGACATGACCAGTAGATGGCATGCTTTCTCCTGAATAACATGGTCATTTCCTTACCATCACTAAAAAAACTTTGTCATCACTTTAAGTTTCTTGAATGCTAAAAGTTAGATTTTTTTCCCCTAAGGAAATTCAATTTATACACAATTTTATAGGAATGCACATACCAAACAAAGAAGACTAAGTAACTTAACTCTACCTGCCCACTGCTTGAATATACTTGTCTGTCCAAACTGTAAGTGGTGATTATTACACGATGTTGAGATGTGAAACCAAGTTTTGTTTATTAAATTTATTAATAAACAATATGTTCACTTTCAGGAAAACTGCATTTAAACCATGAACTCTGCATCTCTACTTTCATTCTCCCAAGGAAATAACATTTGAGAAAAACCAACTGTATGTATTGGTTTCCATCTGGAAGTATACATACCTTGTATTTTCAAAGTCAGTGAAATTATTCCTTTCTAGAATGGCTTTTCCAGCAGTTACCATGTTCTCAACTGTAAAACAGGAAAGAAACTACATTATGCTATAAGAGACATTAAGTTCATTACCTAGTTATTAACCTGAACTTTTAGATCCTAGTAAAAAGTCGTATCAAATGGATACACATTTAAAGACTTCTTCAACAGCTCTAAGTTACTGAGACGTTTGCTGATCAACACTTGAATGAAGGTTCAACCTATCACAAACTATCACATGTGAGCTGACTCTAAACAGCTCTTGAGGGATATTATCAAGTGATACTATTTAGGACATCTGATCCTACTGTGGTCTAATTCTAATCATAAGGAAACCAAGTATCTACACAAAAACTGTCTGAGTTAAAAACACAAGAAAACTTTGAGCTTGTCTTTGAACTCAAATTAGGGATGTGACACCCCTTCATACTAGCCCAGCTGTGCCTAAAGGTTTGTTTTGGCTTCCAAACTCTCATCTGCCTTAGCATCTTAGTCTCAGTGTTTCAGGGTCTTCAGATGGGATGCGCTTCCCCATTAAAACATTTTTGGCAACCTAGTATCTTCAGAGCACAATGCCAAACTTTAGATCCCTTCTGTTTCTGAACAGTGTAATCAAGCATTTAAAAAGGGAAGGAGTGAGAGAATCTGCAGAGGATAGTTGTTACAATGAGGCTTATAAAATCATTGCTATCAATTTGCTTCTCTTAAGTCGGGCTTGAGTGGGAAGGCTTCCATGACAAGGTCAGTACCACTCTGTAAAAAAAAAAAAAAAGCTCAAGCCAGACTGTATCTTGTTTTCTTTCAAAAGACTCCCAAAATTCGAGGGTGTGGGGTAAGGTTAAATTAGAAGGCTGGGATGAACATACATATACTACTATACGTAAAACAGATAACCAACAGAGACCTACTGTATTAACACAGGGAACTATTCTCAGGATTCTGTTATAACCTCTAAGGAAAAAAAATTTGAAAAAGAATATATATACATACATGTATAACTGAATCGCTATGCTGTATTCCTGAAACTAACACAATATTGAAAATCAACTATACTTAAATGAAAAAAATTTAAAATAAGAGAGAGATGGTAAAAGCATGCTACAGTCCATATAACAAGATAGAGAAGGACTTTCTGCACCATAAATCTAGTCCCGAGATTTTAACTGGATGACAAAGTAAACTGAAAATATTCAGAAGAGTGTTGCCTAGTTCCTGGTTCAATATGGAGACCTGTGTGATTATTCAACTTGCTTTTGCTTTCAACATAAAACCATTCTTGAAAGTATAATTTGAGAAAAAAAAAATACCCCCAAGATGCCAAACATTTGAGCAAATAAAAGACTGTTTTTTTCTTTTAGTTTCTTTAAAGGACACATGACTACTATATTTTAACAGTCACGAGGCATTATAAAGTATATAGATGAAATATAAATGACAACAATAACACAACAAAGTGTTGCAAAGTGTCTCATATTTTGAACTGATACAATGCTAACTCTAAGTAGGCTGTTATAATTGCAGGATGTGTATTTTAATTTCTCTATAGCAACTACTTTAAAAAAATACAAAGAAAAATGGCTAAAATGACAGGAGATAAATTAAAGTGGAATATTAAAAGTATGTTTGAAAAAAAAGTGTTTGATCAACCACAGAAAGGCAGGAAAGAAACAGGGAAACAAAAAGCAAGTGGGACAAATAGAAAACAAATGGCAAGATAGTGGACCTAAATCCAACTATGTCAATAGTTATATTAAATGTTTCTGAACTAAATGCTCCAATTAAAAGACAGAGATTTCCACATTACATTGTTTTTTTTAAATGCCAGATGCAATAACATTGCTATCTTCATGTCTTTAAATATACATATTCAATTTATTGTAAGTGAAGGATAGAAGGGGCTTCCCTGGAGGCTCAGTGGTAAAGAATCCGCCTGCCAATGCAAGGGACACAGCTTCCATCCTTGGGTCGGAAAACTCCCGTAGAGAAGAAAATGGCAACCCACTCCAGTATTCTTGCCCAGGAAATCCCATGAACAGAGAAGCCTGACAGGCTACAGTCCGTGGGGTCTCAAAAGAGTTGGATACAACTTAATGACTCAACAACAACAACACAAGGATAGAAAAATATACCCACGGCAAACAGTAAGTAATAAAGTTGGGAGTATCTAAATCAATATCATACAAAATAGACACAAGAAGTATTTACAGAGATTAAAAAGGGACATTTTATAATGATAAAAATAGATCATTGAGAAGACAATGCAATCATGTTATACATTCACTTAAAATCAGATCCAAACTACATTAAGCAAAACCAATTGTCTCTTTCCTATTTCATTGGTATCTACTCTATTATTTCCTTCTTTATACTCATTTTGATCTGATTTTGCTTGCCTCTTTCTAGTGTCCTAAACTGAAAACAGGTCATTGGTTTTATACCTCCCTTTCTAACATAAGCACTTAAAGCTATAAATTTTACTCTATGCACTTTAGCTACATTCTATAACCCTTTGATATATATTTTTATTACTAATCAATTCAAAATATTGTCCTTTTTGAACTATTTAGAAGTTACTTAAAAGTGTGTTAATTTAAAAATATTCAGTACTATTCTAGATTTTATTATTTCTTCAATTTAATTCCATTGTCATCAGACAACATATAAGATTTTGATCATTTGAAAATGTATTGAGACTTATTGTCCAGAATATATCTTGGTGAACATGTGCTCATAACAAAATATGTATTCTATAGTTAGGTGAAGTTCTATTAATGTCAATTATAGTCACAGGGCTTGACACTACTACTAAGCTCCTCCATATGCTTATTATTTTCCCAACTTTAAAGGCTAAAAAAATTAATTGCAAGGACTTTTAAAGGTTTATTATGAAGATATTCAAATATACACAAGATCAATGAAAACCGTATTACGTATTATGTAATGAAATCCCAAACATCTACTCTGCTGCTGCAAAATTAGTAACATTTGATTTGCAACAGTTATAAAAGCTTTTAAGAAGAAAAGAAAGATTAGAAAAAGAAAAGCAAGCATAAACACATTTCTCCCTCTTAAAAAAAATAATAGTAAATACTTAAGGGGCTCCCCTGATGGCTCAGCAGTAACGAGTCTGCCTGCCAGTGCAGGAGAAATAGGTTCAATCCATGATCTGGGAAGATCCCCCGTGCCACAGAGCAGCGAGGCCCGTGTGCCACAACTACTGAGCCTGGCCATGAGTTAATAAATGCTGCGGTTGGATGATAAGTACATAAAGATTACACTAAATATTTTCTTTAATTTTGCATATATTGGAAATTTTTCATAATGAAAGTTTAAAAAGCCACAGTGCTCCTTTATCACAATACCTGGCTAAACTATTTCAATTGTCACGGCCATCACTGATGCCCGTTCAAGATGATATGACCGTGAAGAATATCACCATCCACTTACTGAGTTCTATTTGATCTTTCTTTAGATATTTGCAGTTTTCAAAATGCTTCTTTGGCACCACAAGATAATGATGAGGTGCTGCTGGCTTGATATCTTTGAAGCAAACTAGGTCTTCATTCTAAAGGAAAAAAATGTGTCATTTGTTAGTGAATTTTTAAAAAGAATTTCCTAATGTGGTTGAGGCATATGCTAAACATCATAAATCTCAGTCTGATATGGAAATGGTACTTATGTTACAACTAATGTCCATTGGGCAATTTTGTGACTATGCATTACGTCCATCAAGACAAGCTTTAGCTTCCTTCATGAGACACTCATTTATCCCAGAGAAGAAAAAGACTTATATAAAGTCAATTTCAAGGAAACAATTATGAATGAAGCTATTAAATTCCTTACTTTAATCCCAGAATTTTTAAAATTTCATTATATATTTCTCCATCTCTACCCTAAGGTTTTTCTCCTCCTAGTATGTACTTTCAAAGGTTTGACTACAGAATCATAGCAAGTTTGATAAATTCTTTTTTAAATTTAGTTTTTTCCAAAGTCACATTTTCTTCAATTATAGCATCATCTAGCAACTACATGGGATTACATTTTAAAACTTTTTCTACAAAAAAATTTTTTTATTTGCCACTTTATAGCATTAAAAAAGACTCAAAATATTGAAAACAAACTCCAGTATATTGTGCTAAGATATGTATGGCATCAGTTTTCTGTTTTATAAACTCTACACAGTAATGTAAGGAAAAAAGGAAACAAAACAGTGAGTCTTTCAACCTATTAACATTTGAGTTTCAGGCTTTTCCAAGAGAAAAATCTATATTCCCTAAATAAGCTTATTCAATTTCTTATACCTAAAAAGTAAGTAAAAACTAAACAAAATCAGTATCAATAATCATAGTTTCCCTCAGAAACACTGACAGAATGCACTGTTGCTCATTAGTTCTCCACTCCAAGAACTAAAATTCAACTGGGACAAGAGCCTCATATGCATCCTAATAAACTTGATTTCAACAAGAATGATGATGAAAGGCAATACAGGCATCATGAACTTCCTTATCAGTGTCCATCAGTTCAGTTCAGTTACTCAGTTGTGTCCGACTCTTTGCGACCCCACGGACTGCAGCACGCCAGGCCTCCCTGTCCATCACCAACTCCTGGAGTTTACCCAGCTCATGTCCACCGAGTTGGTAATGCCATCCAACTATTGCATCCTCTGTCGTCCCCTTTTCCTCCCGCCTTCAATCTTTCCCAGCATCAGGGTCTTTTCAAATGAGTCAGTTCCTTGCATCAGATGGCCAAAGTACTGGAGTTTCAGCTTCAGCGTCAGTCCTCCCAATGAATATTCAGGACTGATCTCCTTTAGATCTCCTTGCAGTCCAAGGGACTCTTAAGAGTCTTCTCGAACACCACAGTTCAAAAGCATCAATTCTTTGACACTCAGTTTTCTTTATAGTCCAACTCTCAAATCCATACATGACCACTGGAAAAACCATAGCTTTGACTAGACGGACCTTTGTTGGCAAAGTAATGTCTTTGCTTTTCAATATGCTGTCTAGGTTGGTCATAACTTTCCTTCCAAGGAGTAAGCATCTCTTAATTTCATGGCTGCAGTCACCATCTGCAGTGATTTTGGAGTCCCCAAAAATGAAGTCTGTCACTGTTTCCACTGTTTCCCCATCTATTTGCCATGAAGTGATTAGTATCCATACTGCTCATCTAAGCTTTAGGTGACTGACAAACTGGTCTCCAGTGACACCACATGATACTTTAATATCATAAATATACTGTGTATCTGTCATATTCTATATGACACTGCTGTACTTTATAAAGAATAAACCATATACTTTGCTCGTTCTCCTTCTTCAGAGCTTTATTCAAATGACACCTTCTTTTTTTTTTTAATTTTTAAAATTGATTTGGCTGCATCAGATCTTAGCCATGGCACACAGGATCCCCACTGTGTTCTATGGAATCTTCCCTTGCGGCATGCAGACGTGGACTCCAGCTCAGTAGTTGTGGAGCACGGGCCCGGTTGTTCCAGGGCATGTGAGATCTTAGTTCCCGACCAGGGATCAAATCTGTGTCCCCTGCATTGGCAGGCAGATTCTTAACCACTGGACTACCAGGGAAGTCCTCAAATGCCACCTTCTTAGTGAAGCATTTCCTTACTAAAAGTTTAAAACTGCATCCTTTTCTCTTTTGTTGTTCCCCATCTAAGAAACTATGCATTTTATTTATTATGTTGCTTATTGTCTATTTCCTGTGAGTAGAATGTAAGCACCATGAGGACGGGTGTTTTGCTCCTTTTATTTGTTTCTGTATCCCAATGCCTCCAGCAGTGTCTGGCACAGAGAAGGCACTCATGTAAATACTGAGTAACGGATGGGTGACTGAGGTTCCTCTTTCCCAGGGACAAAGCTCTACCTCTTGGGGCCAGTTTAAACCTCTGTCCATTGGCACCTGCACATCAGCATTTAAGCACAACAAAGACTTCCTTGTTTCAAAAAACTTTCTCTTAACTCCACCTCCTCCCGTAGTTACCACTCTCTCTCCCTTCTCCCCAAAACTGCCAAACTTCCTTCAGAAGTTGTCTGTATTTGCTGTCTTCAATGTTTTAGATTGACTCTGGGGGTTTTTATCAACCATCTGCCCTCTGCCCCATCACTGCACTGCAGTTGTTCTCCTGAAGGTCAGTGGTCATCACCCTGGGGACAAAACCAGGGTGCATGCATACACTCTCTGCATGCATACAGGAGAGTCATCCAACCCAGATATGAGGATGAGGGAAGGTGGATATTGCTACCAATCCCTATCTTCTCAACACATTCCTTTCTGTTCGCTTTCCTAGTTTCCCCTCTGTTTCTCTGTCCCCTTTCCAGGTCTTCATCCTCCACCTCTCTTACTGTGGTAGGGTTCTTTAGAGTTCTGTGCAGGGATCCCTTCCCTACTCTACAAATATGTCCTAGGTGATCTTGTTAATTTCCCTCTTTTCAATTTCCACCTATAAGCTGGCACTTCCTATCATCTGGGTTAGAGATGCAGACCTCAGCATTGTCAGACTCCTAATTATTCCCAAATTGATCTGCTTTTCTTCATCTCCATTACTACATCTTATGTCAGGCCATCATCAGGCTGGATTACCTCAACAGCTTCATAACCAATCTCCATGCCTCCAGCCTGGTCCTCTCCAAATCATTCTCCCCCAGGGTACCAAATGATCTTTCAAAGATCAAACATTTTCATGGAATTCCTCAACCCCTTTCTTCCAACCCAGCATGAACAGTAGCAATAAACAGTGGAGTTTCCTTCCCTTCACTCTGCAAACAAAGCCCAAACTGCTTAACATGAAGTACAACAGCCTTAATAACTTGGCCGTCGCTTACCTCTCCACCCTCATCTTTTACCACTCACCCCTTCAAACTCCATGCTCCAGTTAGATTGAATTTCTATTTGTCTGTGGCAGAGACCAAACCGAGGAAGGTTCTCTTGACCGAAGGCATTCTTCTTTCCTCCTCCTCACCTGACCATACTTATTTTTTCACGTCTCACTTCCTCTGGAAGGTCTTCCCTAACCCTCCAGATCTGGTCAGGTGCCCCTCCCACGGGCCTTCCAAAATACTGCAGGTGGTAAAATCATCTCACGTCGGCTACTATCAGCTGCCTCTTCTGTCGGTACTGACTCCACCCTTTAGATTATAAAATGTAAACAGGGACTACTAGCCTTTATTTACCTTGTTCACCACTGAATCTCCAACAGTGCTGAGAAGGAATTCAAATTACTTTTAACAAATGAATCATTACTACAAAACAAAAACACCGCCCAGAATCTTTGGAGCTGACTCTTTCAAATGACTGTTTCTCTAAAGGCGAGTCAAGCTGGTAGACGAAAGTGCCTACCCGATATCTGTTTTAAAATATCTGAGCAAAGTCTAAATGCTCTGAAAATTTCCACATATCCCAACTGATAATAACACTTCTAAGGAACTGGACCCTTTAGTGGAAATCGGAATCTATTAACTAACAGCGTGACCACGGACCAGTTCTGCCAACCTATTTTCAGTCGATCTGACAAATGGGCTTTTCACAATCACCATTATCTATTTTCTACTAGTTTGTTTTCAGTATCAGTATATGCAGAATGTAAAGGCAGTGTCTAGAAAAGTGAGGTGGGGGGCGGGGCAGGGGAGGTTCCTTTAATAAAATCAGAGGTCACTTTTGTCTACCGACCAGCTCGGCTGTGAAGAGAGGTTTTCTCTCTGCCTTTTCTCCCTTTTAGAACAGTAAACGAGGCTGGCGGCACTCCGGGCGCCTAGAGAAACAAGCCTGTCTATATTACTAGGACACCCAGCCTCCCCCAGCTCCATTTACGCAGGACCGTCCCCACCCGATCCACGCCGGCGAGGCCCCTCTCCTAAGCGGAGGCCCCCCGCAAGCGGAGCCCCCCGGGGCGCTTCGGATCCCACCCACGCCCGGGCGCGCGTCGCAGCCCACCTCACAGTGTAGGAGCTCGGTGCCGGGTTCCTGGTGCGCCGCGATCCGACAGAACACGCACTTGCTACTGTAGTTCGCGAGCTCCGGGGACTCTGCGGCGACCGTGGGGGTCTCCCCTGGGGACCCCGCGGGTTGGGCAGCCGCCGCTGCCTCAGAGCGGGCACACGACTTCCCTAAATCGCATTCCTGTTCCTCCATTATCGCACCCGCTCTTCTGCGCCGCTGAGAGGCTTCTCCGGGACGACAGGGCCTCTTGCAGAGTTAGCCTCCTGCACCTCCTAGATTTTACCTCGAGGTGTCGCCCCTCGTCTGGCGCTGGGCCGGGCAGGGAGCTGGGCACAGCGCGGATCCAGGGCGACCGGAGCCGCAAGGCGACTCGCCGCGGAGCCGCAAAAGCCAGAGGCTGGCCTTCACGCTGACTGCCACGCGGGGGCGCGCAAGGACGCGACACGGAAGAGCAGCCGGCGGCGGCGGCAGTCGCCCATCCCCGTACGTCTCGGTGGTAACGACGCAGGGCTTCCGCCACAACGCCGTCTCGCGCCCCACGTCGCGATGACATCACGTTCGCGCTCTCCCCGGGAGGCCGAATGAATTTGTTGACAGTTCTGAACGTCTTCTCCCTGAAGCCAGTAACATAAAGTGCCTCGAGTGTATAATGATGTCTTAAAAAAAAAAAATTCGTAGGTTTTACGAGAAGGAACATTTCTAGAGCTGTTTTCTACACAGACTATATTTGATGCTTTGGGTATGCATTTTCAACCATGATCATTTTAGGCGATAAGGCTCAAAATATCAAACAGAACTTCACACCTGTTTTTACCTTTTGTTATTATTGACAGCATCAGCTAGATCAAAATAGTGGGCTTTATCTCATTCTTCATACACAGGTAAATGCGGAATCCTGTAGTTTATAGTCTGACATTCCAGAACTTCATAGAAATTCACGAGGAATTGACCTAGAAACTTCAAGAAATGACAAGAAATTCAGGCAGGACTTTCTTGGGAGCTGTGCTTCTGGAAAGAGTGAAAAATGAGTAACACATTCCCTTCCTGGCTCCCTGGGTTGGAAGGGGTGCACAGGTTGGTCCCTTGGATGAGGGTCGGGGCAGATCTGTGGGTCTATCTGGAAAGGTGGCTTAGGAGGCCTGCCCACCCATCCCCACACTCTTTTTTTTTTTTTTCAAAGAATATGCTTTAATAATAAATTCTAGCCTGAGAAAATAGGAGGAAAGCCATCACATATATGCATCCCCACACTCTTGAGGGTGCTGTGTGCAGGGATCATGAGTAATACCCTCTTATTGCTCAGGACATGGCAGAAGTGGCAGTTGGGTTTTTGGGTTTTTTTGTACCTTGTTGTTTATAATTTGCCCAGGCTGTACTTCAGTTCAGTCCCTGACTCCTGTCCAACTCTTTGTGACCCCATGGACTGCAGCATGCCAGGCTTCCTGGTCCATCACCAACTCTCTGGAGCTTGCTCAAAACCTGCAGGCAGTTACTTTTAGTCCTTTAGTTTCTTTATATTCTGTTGCTCAAGGAGACATTTGTCCACATGCAAACACTGTAGCAACGGGTCCCAAGTCCCCCGTCTACCTCATTCCCCTGCTGTGAGCTTTTGCACCCCTTATTTTTAAGGGTTAAGGGGCTGAAGTTTTCCTCTTCTGAAGCATCTTCCTGCTGGACAGGGGCCTCAGACCCTAGCTTACACTAGAGGCATAGAAATCCCTTGCTGACTGTTTCAAGCACATGTAGGGACCTGGGCCACCCTCTGCTGGAATGGATTGAAACCCTTGAGCCATAATGAGCCTTACTTGAAACTGCTGGAGCCTAGAAGATACAAAGTTAACCAGACAAAGGCCAAAAAGAGCCATAATAGCTACTAAGGGGCCTAGAAATGGAAGGAACCAAGTTAACTTTGGGAGTGGGGCTCCTGTAACTGTTGACCAGACAGTGAGATTGTGTTGCTCTTGCCAAAGTTGTGAAGCCTTTCTGCATGGGTGAGTATTTCTTTAATGTTAACATCCACCTGTCCTGTTGCATTGATCCAGGCACAGCGGGAAGTATTAGTTACCAAAAACACTCTTCCTTGTACTGCCAGAAAGTAGCAAAGAGCCAGGCGATTATGAACAACTATATTAGCCAAAGAAACAAGAGCAGTCTTATGTCCCTTTAAGGCTTGTTCTATCAGTTTCATCACATAAGCACACTGTCCGGGTGAAATTTCTCAGTGTTACTTCGTGATAAGTTTCCACATAGAGCCACCAGTCCTATTGCTAGCCCTGCCCTATGCTAAGATCATGCCTCTTGCTCTCTAGGTTCAAGGGTGAGCCAGCCTGGTCCTGTTACAGATAAAATCCCTCTTATCCCTGTAGACCATACAGAACAGTCTCACACAAAGTGGACATCATCAGTGCATTTACAGGCCATAGGATGAAGGCCTTGGGAAAAGGGCAGGTCCTGGCCATAGCTCCATAACATGATGTTTTGGGTGTCTGCAGAGGAAAAGAAACGCTTCAGGGGGGCAGACCTGAATGTGTCATGGTTGTTCAGAGCTGATAGTCCTTGAAGGACATAGCTGTTGCTAGTACCTATGCAACTAGGAGACCACAAATCGATATGTTGGTGATTTAGATTATATCATGTTATAAAGGTCTTCATGAAATGCTCAAGTGTGATCTGGTTGGTTTTGTCAGAGTTGACAACTGTAGGCCAGCTCATCATTTGCTCGGTGTCCCACAGGTGGGTTGAATTGGATTGACAAGGTGGATGAGATGTTTCTTTGAACGGTTCAAAACCCCCTTCCATGTTGTTTAGGAAGACGGAGCCATAGTCTGAAACAGGACACTGGTGGGGGGAGGTTGTAAGTACAGTTTCTCCCTACATAAGAGGCAGAATATCTGGTGTAATTCTGTTCCCAATTGCAGGGGGGCGGAGGGGGCATGCATACGAAACAAGTACCATTTGTGCAGTTTAACCTAGCATGTGCAGTGCCTTGGGTCGTTGTATAGGGGATTCAGATTAAAGCATTGTAATAGCCCCCTGGAAAGTGCAAGCGTGACTAGCAGAGAGGAAAGAGGTGGCAGTTGCCCCTAATTTAGTTTGTTAATCAATGTTGGAACCGGCAGGATCAGGGGAAATGCAAGAGGAGGGCCAGTAGCCAGCCGGGAGGAGGGGGGTGCAGTGGGAGGGTGTTGATGGCATATCCAGCATTATTTTAAATGTTCCCTTTTGGACATGATTTTTGGAAAGTTTGGAAATGTTGCTAAGTGAGTGTTCTTGCTATTGTTCCCTGGCTACAAGGACTAATAAGGCGCACACAGTCAATAGCAGAACATTTTTGGGGTGGAGAATTTCCCCTTAAATTAAACCCAGCATGGACAACGGGGTTACTTCTCTGGCGAGGGTGGCCGAGCAAACCAGTAGGATGCAATCAACAGCACAAGAGCAAAAATGGCAAATAGGAGACCAACTCACCACACCGTTTTACTTATCTGTGGGTCATGCCTATGCTTGCAATAGGCATCTCAGGTTTGCTACTGACTCACAGATGGATTGCTCTTCTCTAGTGACTTGTGGGGTTTTGGGAGGTAATAGTTTTAGTCTAGACAAATGTACCCAACCAAATTTCCCTTGCAGTCTGACAGCAGTTGGGATGGCTAAAATTACCTCACAGGGGCCTTTCCATTTTGGTAATAGTTGTTCTTTGGGGGAACCTCTCTTTCCAAGTTTTAGGAAGAACCTGGTTCCAAGGGTTTATTTGTGAAGGAACTGCCCCTTCCCGTGTGTTTTTACTGGGGGCTGGCAGTGCCTTGTGGGCATAGTCATAGATTGCCTTGTGAACTTGTCCTAGAATAGTAATATACCACACTGTCCAGGTCACTTCCTCATCTAGTACAATGTCAGTAGTAAGATAAGACCTCCCACTGGTCATTTCTGAGCTAAGCCTCAGACCACTCCTGGGGGCTACATGGACCCCCAGGACTACAAGAGGAAACAAGTGTCATGAGTCTCTTGGCAGAGCTTTGCTGAAGTATGGTTCATTTTCTCCACCTTCCCTGAAGACTGGAGGTCTTCAAGTATGGAGGCCAAGTATTACATAGCTTGTAATCAATCCCTTGTGAGCCCCTGTGTGATTTTGGCTATAAAAGGGGGCTTGCTATTGCCCTGAAGGGGAAGTTCAAACCAAGGAACTGTTTCTTTTAAAAATGACTTAGACTTCAGTAGCCTTTTCAGGTAGAGTGGGGAAGGCTTCAACCCATCCTGTGAAAATAACAAATAGCTTCTTGTGTAAGAAGATACAGCCTCACCATGGGGGCATTTGGGTGAAATCTAACTGCCAGCCAGTCTTCCCTGTGTGTGTCCCTTGATGTTGAACTGGCCTGAGTAGCAAAGCGTGGATTGGATGGATTTGTGGGTTACTACGGACACACAAATTGTAGGCAAGGGTTACTTGTTTTACTGTCTTTTGAGCCCCTTCCCTGGAAGAGCCTTTTACATCAAGCCCCATAGTGCATCCCTGCCTCAGTGGGTGGCATCAGGCAACCTCTTAGCGAGTTTCCATTGTTGAACCTTAGAGATTAGAGCCTTCATACCAGCCTGTGCTTCCTTTCTCTTCCTTTCCCATGTCTCAGCATTTTCTTCTTCCTGTGGGGAATACTGGGGAAACCCAGGACATTGAGGAGGGCCAGTCACTAGGGTCATAACTTGGTCAGGTTCTTGTGGTCAAGCTGCCTGTTTTTGCAGTTTGATCACTTTGCTGTTCCCCTGGCTCACAAAAGATCCATCCTTCAGTGGATTACTGCTACCTGGCTTGGGAACTGCTCTTTTTCTAGAAAGCCAGAATTAAAGTTTTATGATCATTTTTTTTTCATTTATTTTTATTAGTTGTGTCAATGTATGGTAAAGCTTTATGATTTTAAAGAGAATTTCTAGCAGTTAACATTCCCCTTTGCTAAGTATTGGGGCAAATATACAGTTAACAAAATAAGTCTCAATTTTTTAATAGAGCCTGGTCACAGGTCATGGAGCATCTGATCTTTATTTAAGCATAGATTGCAGCAATAAACTTCAGAAAAAAAGCTTAGAATGTCTTTTTAATAACTCAAACTATAGGAAGGGGCTATCTGGGAGATGAGTTTTAGGCAGTAAATACAGATTACTTACATAAGTGTAATTGATCATACAGTTTCTTTTAAATT